TTCCCACCCCAGTTGTTTTTTTTTTTTTTTTTTTTTTTTTTTGCCCCTCTTTTTATTTTGTCTTCGCTTATATGCACTTACCCCCAATGCTTCCCGGCACGCGTCAAAGAAGGCACAGGGAGGGAATCGGGCAGTTTAAAGAATAGATGAGTTGATCGGAAAAGAAAAACAAAACAAAACAAAACAAAAGCAAAAAAAAAAAAAAAAAGAAAAAAAAACAACAACAAAAAAACAAAAAAAGTCTTTTTCATTGGGTCTATTCTTTTGGTTGTTACTGTTATTATTTTTGTTTCGATCGTTTCTTTTTTTTTTTTTTTTTTGACTGGGAATGTTTCTTCTTGTGATAACCATCACGATAATGCCCATGGCTATTTGTTGCGAGGGATGAGTGGGGCATTTTGTGCTTGGTACCTCATGCGTCTATTTCAGTGCCTTTTTTTTTTTGTCTGTGTGTGTTTTGCTTGTGCCGATAATTCCTTACTTCTGCCTAATTTTTTTTTGTTGTAAGCTTGTTCGGAAATCTTCTGGTGTAATTGTGTGTGTGTGTGTGCGCTCGTATGTGTCTTGGGAGAGGCGGTTCATATGTGGTGCGCACATGTTTGGTTTGTGGCCTGTAATCTTGCGTGGGTGTCTCTCTTTCTTTCTTTCCTTTTTTCCTTTTTTCTCTATTCGTCTGTCTGTCTGTTGGGGGGTGGGAGTGCCGGCGTGGCGGATGGTTTCCTTCACCTGCAACTACTGCCACGACGTGGTGAAGAAGCCGAAGGTCAATGGCCACGCCGCGCAGTGCGGTTTTGCCTCTTTCACGTGCGTTGACTGCATGGAGGTGTTTGACCTGCAGACGATCAAGCAGCACACGTCATGCATCACCGAGACGGAGAAGTACCAGGGGAGGTGGCGACAAAACAGAGCGCCGGCGGCAGCAGCGCGGAGATGCGTCGATGGTTCGGACGACAGCGACGGCGATGGGAACGACAACAACAAACGGCAGCCGCTGCGTCCACCCCGCCCGCCCATGAATTTGAGCAGCGACTCCGACTCCGACGATGATACGTGGGTAACGGGGGGGAAGAAGAAGGCAGTGATGGAGAAAAACAAGGGACGTAACGGGAGTCCCAACGGGTCTTCACAAAAGCGGGCGAAAACGACGTCACCGTCCAACAAAAATATGGAAGCGAAGAGCGGATTGAAGCGCCAAAAACATGAGGAGTTGCTCGAGTTGCCGCGGGCAGTGACGGCGGCGGACTGCATTGTGCCAAGCTTCGTGCTGGGCACCGACGAGGAGGTGGCGGAGGTGACCCGTTGGATCATCGAGGAAGCCGGCGAGACACCGCTCACCGTGCGGGCGCTCGCAAAGAAGCTGGTCGAGAGGTACAACACCCGCATCGCAAAACATTTGCGGCACGCCATTGAGACGGCGATTCAAAATGGAAAGTTGCGTGTGGAGGGTGGCACGGTGAATTTGCCCTGAGTTGCAGAGTTAACGTGTTGTTGTGGCTGCTTCCCGCCTGGCATTTCGCGGGAGGGGAGGGAACTGACACGAAAGAGAAGGGGAGAGCACATATATAAACGGATAGAAATATATATGTTTGCGTGTGTGTGAAGTTAAGGGGCTCTACGGGGTCCATTGGCGACGAATAAATTTTTGAATAAAATAATCGTGAAGGAAAACCGAAGGGGGGAATGAAGGAGACCGTCGGCAGCAGTGAGAAGAAAAGCGTGTTCTTTTTTTTTTTTTTTTTTTGAAATGATCTATGCGTGTGTGTGTGTGTGTGTGTGAGTGCGGCGACTATGATTGGGGTCACCGCTGCATTTTTGTGTTTACTTCAGTCTTTGGGTTGTTTGTGATCTGCAAATAAGGGAATAAGAAAACAAAAGAAGGAAATAAACGAAGGAAACGGGGGTCAACAACAACAAGAAGAACTTCAAGGCCGAGAAGGGAAACAACACGACAAGAAGCCGAGGAAAAGGAAGAGGTGGAGAAAGAGAATACACACGGAATCCGTCACAAAAAAAAAAAAAAAGAAAAAAAAAGAAAAAAAAAAGAGGAGAGGAAGAAAGGAGGGGTGGCATTTGTTATATCATTTATTGACAGCAACATATACGGTGGTAACGCATGGGGGATTTACCTTCCAATGAGAGAATTGGCTCGCGAGTGGTTTTCTCTGCGCAGCGTTCGCCTGCATCGGTGCTTGAGGATCCATTAGCACAACAACGGGAGAGCGCCGATTTTGCGTTGGAGAGGACACGGGAAAATTCAGAGGGTAGTGGTCACAATGCGTCCAACATTCTTCTGATTGATCCCAAAAAGATCAGTGACTTTATGCGTTTTCGAGTGATGTTTATTGGAATGCTTCTTTTTATCAGCTCCTCCACGCAGGGGCTTCACGCGCTCTTTGCCCTGTACATGGAGAAGGTCTACATGTATGACGTACGCACAATGGTAGACATTTTTGCAGCAGGTACGGCCTTTGGCTTGTTTGTCTTTCCGTTTGGAGCCATGTATGACTTTTTTGGACCGAAGATTGTCATTGGAATAGCTACGGCAATAACTTCTCTGAGCCACCTTTTGTTTGGTTTGACCTTCGCCGGACACATTGATGCATCAAAGACGCGATTTTGTATTTACTTTGCCATGATGAACTGGGGCTGCTACGCCTTTGACGTGGCGGCATTACCTGCCATTTTGACCTACGCGCCTCGTGACCGCGCTCAACCGACGGGTGTAATGAAAACATTTTCCGGTATGGGCGCTTCCTTGATTTCGTGTATGTTCCGCGGCTTTTTTAAAAATCGTTACGACCACTTGATGTACTTTCTCATGGCGATCGTTCTTGGATTTGGACTGATTGGGACCTTCTGCTTAAGCAACGCTCCGTACGAAGTGACTCGGTGGGAGGATTCTCGTATCTCACTGAAGGAACGACTGAGGCGGCATCTTATTCGGAATCGTTACATGTCGCAGCTTTTGCCAAAGCGTCGCTTCTACATTTTGTCTTGTCTGTTGCTGGTTATGAATGTGTATCTGTCTATACAAGCCGTTTGTGCAGCATATTTCCAAAAAGAAATGACGGAGGGGCAATACAGGGGCATAGCTATTGGCGCCATTGCGATTGTTTTGGGTATTCTTCTTCTTTTGGTTCCCCTACATGCCCTTGATGGAGATACGCCACAGGATCATACTGTCCTTGAACGCGCGAGAGAAAAGGAGCGTAAGTTGGCAGAGTTACGAAGGCTGCGTCTGGCACGCGAGAGGGAAGAAAAGGATGCTGAAAAAGAAGAAGAACGCGCACAAAAAGCTGTGGCCCACCAGAATGCAGGGGACGTGGCCATTGAAGTGAAAGACTTGCCTAGGATTTTAGTGGATCAATCGTCACCGCATGCAGACGGGCATTCCGTGCTGTATGATAATTCCCTGCAGCACAAAGACGGGGAAAAAGATGATGAAGATGGTGAGGAAACACAACACCGCAGGTATCTTCCTTTGGACCCCGAAGTGAGTCTTTTTGAGGCGGATGATTTAATTCCAATTGAAGCGAGGGATGACGATGCTTCCCGAAACAGCCGGCAACGGTTGGGTAATACTTCTATCGCCACTAGAGTGTCGGTCTCCAATGTTTCCTTGGCGGCTCGTAGGAAAGACAATGAAGGCGCCGAAATGGATTTTATTACGCGTGAATTGTCGACATACGATCGGCCACACGTTGAGACCATCACTGTCTGTGGTGAAGTCTTTGTTACACCCGTTTATGAGACATCATTTTTGCTGAGCTTGACGTATGTGGATTTGTGGCTGCTTTTTTACACCGTATTTGCCGTTTGGGGCGTTGGCATAACGTTGACAGCGAATTGGAACATCCGAATTATGGTTGGCAGCGTCTTCAAGGGTTTGGATTACCAAACGTATGTTCTTTTTGCCACTTTGGCAGGTATTTCAACTGCGTTTGGTCGGGTGGCTATTGGTGGGTATGAGGTTCTTCTGCTTTACATTGGTAAAAGGAGAGGTGTTATGTTGCCCGCTACTATCGCACTTCCTGTGCCCAGTGTGATGTTGTCACTGGCTCTCATCTTTTACCTTTCCTTTCCTGGAAATTATTCACTTCTCGTGGTTTATATAATTGCCGCCGTCGCCTACGGTTTCAGCACTTCAATGACCATATATGTCATTGGTATTATATTTAAGCGTGACATTGGAATGCACTACGGGTTTTGCTTCTTAGGTGCCGCCCTTGGCATTGTGTTGCTGTACCGCGTGCTCCTTTTCCATGTGTATGATCATCACAAATCAGGTTTGACCCCCAGTTTACAGGTGAATAAAGAAGGTATTTGCATGGGAAAGGAATGCCTGCAGAAGACGCTGATTGTGTACCTCATTCTTGTCTTTTTGTCTATCGGCACGAGTATCTGGCTGCACTACCGCTACTGGAAGTTGGTTCACGGCAAACTGAAGCATAAGCGCGTTATAACACACTTTGTGAAGAAGCGTCTTCGCCGAATAAATAGAAGACGGGAAAAATGCCACGCAACAGAGGAAGGGGCACAACAACAACAACAAGAAGAAGAAGAAGAGGAAAAGCGATAGCTCCTTTTCTTTTCTTTTTTTATTTATTTTATTTTTCAAATTATTCGCCGCAATCACCTTGGTGAAGGCATTTAATATGATATCTGATATTTTTGTTTAATTTTTTCGTCTAACACACTGCTTTTTATTTTTATTTTGTTTTGTAGTCCCTCTTCTGTCTGGATTAGTTGTTTTGTTTACTTTATTATTATTATTATTATTATTATTATTTGCCCACCTAATCCGTATGACCAACGAATCAAAAGCCCGTAGATTTATTTTTGAAGAAAGAGCCGTAGGAAGGGGAGGGAAAGTCACGAAGAGCGGATATCCATCGGTGTGTGTGTGTGTGTGTGATGATGATGATGGATTAACAGAGATGTATAAATGAGAACAGAGAAGACAGGGGGATGGGAAGGAGAAGGGCGCACACAGCGTCATTCCCCTTGCTAGCAGTGTCGTTGTGTGCTAGATGCCCGCCAAAGGGGGCTGGTGGACGAGTCATTTTTTTAAAACGGTTTAGCCCCTAGAAATATATTGTGACCGGTTTAATGAAGGATGCAAGGTTTTTTTTTTTTTGCCCCGTGTTTGCATCGCCGACACGTCGCTGATGCTGTTCTAACTTCTTTTTTTTTTTTTGTGTGTTTTTTTCTCAATACGTTCGCTTTATTTTTTTTTTGTTTAGTGGAGCACGTTCTAAGGTGTCGGGTACGTTTTTTTTTTTCTTTTTTTTTTTTAAATTCCCTGACCCTCTGCTGCCTTCTGCAAGGGGGAGTTTTTTGGCTGCGGGACCCCTTTTTATGAACTTTCACTTGGTGGCTTTAGGACACGCCTGGTGGCTGTACATTGAGTTATGTGAACCGCTTGGCCCCTCTGATGTGTGAGTGTTGGGCAGTTCTCATTCGGTTTAGGTTGCCGGGCACACTGAGCCCCACCGCGATCCTTTTCTTTTATGTTCTGCTTTTCTTTCTTATTGTGGGAAGAAGGGGCAGGGCCTCAGAGAGGGGGGCATTTTCCACGCGGAAGCGTTGGGTTAAAGAATATTTCTGTTTCACTTTGAGGAACGTTGTTTGTGTGTTTTTGTGATCATTATTTTTTCTTTTTGGCTGCTGTATTTGTGAGTGTGCGCGTTTTTGTTTTTCACTTGCTTGCAGAGGATGGAGCACCAAATTGCGAAGTGCTGACGATTCGGACATGCGGTGCGGCATCCAGTCACGGGAGGTCGTCTGACATTTTCGAGCCTCATCGAGTGTATCGGCGTGAAAAGAAATGGGCATGCTTTCCCCTAGAACCCAGATAAGAATGCGTGCGCTCCGCTGCACGAGAAAAGTTTATGGTTGACCCTTCCAGCATGACGGCAGACAATTCTTGCGTCCAGTGGCGTGTGCGGTTTCCTCGTCTGGCTCTTCCAATTGTATGCCCTCCTTGCTTGTTGTGGAACGCGGAGATAAAAAGTCATGGTACAATTGATAGATGATCTGTTCCGCATGCGGATGCTGATAGCCGGCATTTATCTCGCGCTTGGCATTTCGTCCATGTACGGTTTCAGCATCTTCACGGATCATCTGCGGAACAAGTACGGGTATTCGCAGAGCGAAATCACGACAATCAGCACGGTCGGGATTTGCGTGGGCTACTGCGGGTTTCATGCCGGAGTGCTGTTTGACTACGTGGGTCCCACAGTCCTGCTTCCGCTTGGGGGTCTCTTTGGATGCCTGGGCTTTGTTCTGTTTGGGATGACATTTGACGGCACAATTACCACATCGAGCGTGGCGCTCTTTGCTCTTTACCAGGGAATCACCTCCCTTGGCCTTCCGATGATGGATGTTTCTTCCGTCATGTCGCTGATGCTGCAGTTCCCCTTGGAGCGCGGCTATGTGGTACTGATCATGAAGACGTTTAATGGGCTTGGAACCGCTGTGCTGATGGCGTATTTCAACGGCTGGTTCAAGGCGGCGAACTCTGATCAACCTGAGGAGAACAACTACTCCGGCTACGCGTACTTTACTGGGGGACAGATTCTGCTGTGCTCTCTCATCGGCGCGTGCTTCACGCGGTTGCCGACGTACTTTCCGTGCTCGTGGACAAAAAAGCGTCTGAGCAGTGAGGAGGCCGCGGAGCGGGAGAAAACGCTTGACCTGTACATGAGCCAGCATGTCTGTGGGGAGTGCTGTTGGACGCATGGCCATGGGGTATCTCGATATGAAGTTGTCCGCGTTACAGCGTGCAGGCAAGACAAGGACACTGACGACCATTGCACTTCCCATTGGCTCCCTGTTGTTGGTGGTGGCGCACTTCCTCTTTGCCGTGCTACCGGGGAATGTGCTGCTGCTGCCGTTTTTGCTTGGAGCCATGGGCAACGGCGTTGGCTGGGGTGTGGGCGTGATCGCTTTACGGATTATGTACTCTGAGGATATTGGCAAGCATTATAACTTTTGTTTCACGTCCGGTGCCGTTGCTTCTATTGCGCTGAACCGCTTCATGTTCGGAGAGATGTACGGTCGTGAAGGAAAGAAGATGGTTCTGTACCTTTTTCACGTCGTTTGTGAATGCGTGAAGGCAATTTTTTTTCATCTGTTGGGGTTAAGCAAGTCGGCATTCTCCATCCCTGTGCTCATGAGCCGAAGATGTTTTAAATATTCTGCCTGACCGTTTCTGGAATCGATACTGGATTGCATCGATAATATTTATCTTGGATTGGATTTTCTGTGTGTGTGTGTGTGTGTGTGTGTGTGTCATTGTTTCCTAACTTCTTTTATACAAGCTTATTAAGGCGTTTTTATGTACGATAGGAGAATTAATTCTATTTTTCAGTACGACGTTGTTATTTTGATGGTTGAAAGATGCAGTCGTTTGGGAGGGTTGAAGAGAATGCGTATTCCGCGTGTAAGCACTCAGTTACAGTTTTGTTGTTTCTTTTGTTAGAGATTCTGTTGTGTCGCTGCCGCGGGTGCACTGCTGCATATATTAGCATTATTACTATTCATTTATTTGTTTTTGTGGTTACGGAGAGTCATAACTAGAAAGCAGCGCGGTGAGGGGCAGCTGAGCGGGTTCAATGTGTGGTATATGCTGCACCCTGCTTTTGCACGGGCGGCGGGGTCTCCAGGACTTGGTGGTTTGCAATGAGGGCGTTGTCGAGCGTGCAGCGCTTCACCAGTCGGTGCGACGTCGTGGTCCGGATGCATTTGCGTCGCTTCAACTTGAAATTGCCCCTGGCGTGCGTGTTGAGGCGGCAAGCGCTGTTCTTTGTTTACGCGGTGTGGGTGGCGGTGGCGCCATTGTCGCTGAGGGTTGCAGTGGCAAAAACCAAGGAATACCGCAGCCGGCGATGGCGGCACGCGACTGTTTCTGCTCACATGCACCATCATGTCTGTCGTTTCTTGAGTGGAATGGAGAAGTATTTGGTGGGGCACTACACTTGTCTCCGGGAGTCTCAGACACAACTGTTGTTCTTGACCGTCTGCATCAGCTGGAACACGGATTCACGGCAGAACTGTGCGACGGAACCAACGGTGCGGATGGAGTTTGTGGTGCCGCAGCTTTGGCCACGGCCCAGGCCTCTTTTGCGGAAGCATGTGTGCATTTCTTTGAAACTGACATTGAGGGGCCGTACGCCTTTGTGTACTACGCCCACTCCCTGCAGTTATTTCTGTTTGGCCGGGATCCACTTGGGCGACGCTCCCTTCTTTTGCATGTGGCCTCGGCATTTCCAGAAAAGGGAGAGGGAGACGAGAACGGCGCCTCCGAAAACCATTCCGTGGAAGTGACGATATCTTCAGTGGCGGAAGGACACTTTGATGCAAGCTGCATAGTGGTAAAATCCGCGGGAAGAGGCAACAAACGAAGGAGATGTGAGTGTCGTGGCCAATCCGATGTGAGTGATGGGAATAACCATAGCGATGATGACCGTGCCGAGTCCTTCGTGGCTTTTCCTTCTTCCGGTTGCAGCTGCTGGCAGGAGATTCCCAACACGGGTCTCTTCGCCATTAGTGTGGTAGCGTCCCAACAGAATTCTCTGGTTTCCCATCACCCCTGGACGGTCGATCACGGTATACATCCATTACTGCGATTTCAATCTTGGCCGCAGTCCTCTTCGGCGACAGGAAGATTGAGAATGAAAGATGAAGAAACTGCTGAGGATGAGTACCCTGCGATTATTCGATGCCTTTTGCGGGAGAGTGGTAAGCCTTCCCTCACTTCGTTGAAGGACTTCTTGGATTTCGATCTCAAGATGGCTGCACGCTATCTTAATGCTCTTTGGAGAGCTGTGGAGGTGCGTGTGAAGGCCGAAAACTGCGGTGATGATCCCACTCGTCCAATTGGAGTGTTGTTTTCTGGAGGTATTGACTGCACCGTGCTAGCTGCCATTGCACACTACGTTCTACCCGTCACCACCCCTATTGAGCTAATCAACGTGGCTTTTGGAGATGTTCCAGAGCTCGCGCCCGATCGAGTGGCCACGTTTAGGGCTTTTGAGCAGCTGCTACGATTGCCAACACGTTTGAAGGAAGACAATCACGAGATATTTTGCGCTAATGGCAGGGAATGGCGTCTTGTGCTTGTGGATGTTCCTCATAACGCCAACTTGTCTCACGTTCAGAGCCTAGTGTGCCCGGGATCCTCCGTCATTGACATGAGTATCGGTACTGCACTATGGCACGCTGCCCAGGGCTGTGGTCGAGTGCAGCGTGTCCGTGCCGAAGAGGAATTGGTGTCTCGAATGCGGTCAAAAAATTCTTTGTGCGGTCGCCATAAATTCTACCGAGTGTCAACGGAGGAGAAAAAACCCTGCGAATTGGAAGGAATTATCCCTACATGCGGGGACGCCGCAGATGAGACAAAATTTGTCCCGTTGATTGAGGCTATCATCTCGGAATTGGAGGCGTTTAATGAGGAACCGTCATCTCCTGTGCTGTTGTCAACCTTGGGAAAAGATCACAGGACGACACTGCGTCCCGTGCTGACGAAATACGGGTACAAAAAACTGGGACCGTATCTCAACGACGCGTCCGCGGCTGGCTTGATTGCCTTTGCTAGGCGTGACGAGGCTCCGTCCAAAGCCGTGCGCCTGGTGAGGCCGGCAGACATGGGGAAGGTGCAGCGAGTGGTTCCTGCAAAGTGGCTGGTTAGCGATTGTGATTTTTCTCCGTTAGGGTCATGCGCGGATAACTACACTTGCGAGGCTCGTGTTTTGCTCCTTGGGATGGGGGCAGATGAGACGCTTGGCGGGTACACTCGTCACCGTCGAGCCTTCGAGCGCCATGGAGTAAAAGGCTTGGTAGAGGAACTTGGCCGCGATTTTGCAAGACTGTGGAAACGGAACTTGGGGCGTGATGATCGCGTGGTGTGCGATAGCGGGAGGGAAGGCCGGTATCCCTACTTGGACGAGGGAGTGCTTGCAACACTCTCTTCAATAGCGGCAGAGGCCTACCGATGCGCCATCGATACGACACACAGGACGACCGCTATTCCCGTGGATGAAGATAGGGCGCTGCAAGAGGCACTCGCGCCCGCGTGTTGTTTCACTGCTGAAGACGGTGCGCCCGGTGTGGGTGACAAGAAGATCCTGCGTCAGTGTGCGTCCATGTTGGGGCTTGGCGATGTAGTGCGGCTACAGAAGCGTGCAATTCAGTTTGGTTCCCGTGTCGCACAGGCCCCTTCTTGACTGACAGCAAGCATTTTGGTGTAAATCTCAGATTAAAGGCATGAACGAGAAAGATGCAGATTGGAGCGTGTTCTGTTCTGGTGGTGGGTGGGGGCACCACTGCATTGGATTCCACGGCTGCATTTTCCTCTTCTGATATTGGGTCCGGACAGTCCCTCTCTCTTCCCGCCTTCTTCTTTGGGTGTAACAAAAGGTGCGGGGATGCGTGAGCTCTGATCAGACTGCAGCGAAATAAATAAAAAAATAATAGAAAAAAACATAAAGGAACGGAAGAATGGTAGTGCGCTTTCCGCCCAGTGGGTTTATGGGCCGCGTGGGCATCATTGGTGGGACGCCAGCTTCTGCGTTGGTCCTCTCTTGCTCCTGCAGGTCATTCATTGAACACAGCTCAGACCCAAAGCGGTGGTGGAGTCCGGCGAAGGCGGAGGTCAAACGGCGCCACCCAGGAGTGAGACTTGGCTCCGAGTTTGCGCGCATACGGGAGCAGGGTGAACTGGAGCAGCAGCTCGTTGACGCTGACAGGTTTACGGATTGGAACATGGTGTCGGGCTTCGCAATCGGCGCTGCCATCCTGCTTGTGTTTCTTAACGTGATTATGGAGATGGTGGAGCCAAACTCTCCACCTGAGTACACGCCATTTTCTCCGTTTTCCGAGCTTCATAAAAGAGATGGGGAGGAATGAGGTCAAATTTTCTTCCTTGCCTTTTTTATTGGCTGAGGAGGAGGAGACCAACAAACGCAATTTCCACTTTGGACACACACACACACACACACACAGTGTATTTTTTTGCTCATTTGTATTGTTGTTAATATTGCCGTGTTTGTTTGTTTGTCCAAGTCTGTTTATTGTTGTTGTTTTTTTCTTCCCGGAGAGGGGGAGTAGGAGTGGGTGGCTGCCCTTATTTGTTTATGCATGTAAATGCCTCTCTTGACGGTGGAGCTTCTTGTATGTACGTATATTTTATTTTTTGTGCATTTGTGTTTGCTTCTGGAGAGGGTGAGTTGACAGATTGGAGAGTATACCTGGGAGGAAGAAACATGCGGAGGCCTCTCTCGGACGAAGAGCGTGCGGCGAAGGAGGCCCGCCTGGCGGAGCTTCGTCGCCGAGTGAATGCGCGGGACGGTGACTCGTCCTCGTCGGCGGCGGTTCCCGATCAACCCCACAACACTTACGCCTCCGAGGACGCACAGGATAGCGATGATTACGATGACGATGATGAATTCTTCCAGGAGGCAGAGCGGGCTCAGAAAGGCACGGCAGGCGTCTGCATGTACGCGAAGCCAATGGGTGAGTTGATGGGAGAGACGGTGGAGACGGGGCCGAACGCCAGGCGGTGCACCGTTGGCGACTTTGAACTGCTTCGCCTGGCGAAGATGGGGGATCTCCTTTCCTTCAAGGAGTTCTCGGCTATCGTCGGTATTGACCCCACTGCCTTTCAAGACAATCACGGACGAAATGCACTTCATTACGCGGCAGACAGTGGGGGTATTTCGATGCTTCAGTACCTAATAGAGAAGAAGGTGCCATTTACAAGGGATGAGAAGAAAATGACACCTGTTGACATCGCCGTGCTGAATCAACACAAGGACGCCGCAAGGCTGTTGACCGAAAATTTTTCCGAAGCGGCCGAGGCACTGAAAAACTATGAAGAAGCCCTTGAGATTTTCACGCAGCCGCCGCCGAAATTCACGATGTCGAAGCCCGCCCCGCCTGTCCCGAAGGAATCACGTCCCCGCGTCTTTTGGAAAGATGGGGGAGCTGGTGCCCCTGACACCACGAGAACGAATGGTGCGGACGCAGCTCCTTTTACGGTCTCGCAGCTTACGGATGCACATCACGATCAGGTTGTGAGCGCCCTGGGCGGTGTGGTCCTGACGTACGAGAGCCACGGGTTTCACAATTGGCTCCCACCCGCAGAGACCAAAACGCTGACTGCGACA